CCCAGCTCTGCCCTCCCTGTGCTGGTTCACTCTCCAGCAGGGCCCCGACCCCTGCCTGGGGGCAAAGCTGGTCACCACAGCGATGGGCGGTAGGGACACGTCCTCAGAGTCCTGAGACCAGTGACCCAGCAAACCCCCTACACCACCACCCCTCAGAGCTCCTCAGAGAGCTCTGCCTGCCCAGGCCCCCGGGCACGGGCCCCCAGGCCCCTAGCAGGCTTCCAGGGCAGCTGCTCCTTGTAAGTCCTGAGTGCCTGAGCCCACCGTGGGGGATGCCCACCTTGGGAGCTGGGATTCCTTCTCTCCCATGGCTCTGAGCCCAGGACGGACCCCAGCCTGTCTGAGCCTCTCTGCCCTGCCTGCTCCTGTGCCTGCAGCCTACACCCTGGCCCGCGTCTATGGGGTGGAGAGTGACCTCTCGGAAGTGGCCCGCAGGGGCTCGGGCAGCGCCTGCCGCAGCCTGTACGGTGGCTTCGTGGAGTGGCAAATGGGAGAACGGGCTGACGGGAAGGACAGCATTGCCCGGCAGGTGGCCCCTGAGTCACACTGGCCCGAACTCCGAGTCCTCATCCTCGTGGTGAGTGAGACGGCTGTGGAGCGAGGGGCCCCCCTGGCTGGCCCGGCTGAGCTGGGGGTGCAGGAGTGGGGAGGGCGGGGCTTCAGGGCACAGTCCAGGCCGTCTCTCCCTTGGGGCAGGTGAGCGCCGGGAAGAAGCTGACGGGCAGCACCGTGGGCATGCAGACCAGCGTGGAGACTAGCCCCCTGCTCAGGGTGAGGCCTCACTCGGCGGGCGGGCCGGTCCCTGGGGGCCCTGGGAGCCCAGCCCCTCAGCCCCGTAGCCCCAGTGGGCCCACACCATTAGGAGACTGTCTGCCTTGCAGTTCCGCGCCAAGGAGGTGGTGCCGGCCCGCATGGTGGAGATGGCCCGCTGTGTCCGGGAGCGGGACTTCCAGGCCTTCGGCCGGCTGACCATGCAGGACAGCAACCAGTTCCACGCCACCTGCCTGGACACCTTCCCGCCCATATCCTACCTCAGCGACACGTCTCGGCGCATCATCCACCTGGTGCACCGCTTCAATGCCCTCCACGGGCACACCAAGGCAGGCTGGCTGGCACGGGTGGGCTCTGTCTCACTGTGGTTCATTCGGCTGTGTGGCCCCATGTCCAAGCCCCTTGTCCCGAGTGGGTGGGAGTTCGCCTGGCACCTGGGAGTGGGTCTGAGCTGCGGCACCTGGTCACGCTGAACGCATGGTTCCAGGTGGCCTACACATTTGACGCGGGTCCCAATGCTGTAATCTTCACTCTGGATGAGACCGTGGCTGAGTTTGTGGCTGCCGTGAGGCACAGCTTCCCACCTGAGTCGAATGGAGACAAGTGAGTTGTGGGCCGCTGTCCAGGAGGCAGGGGTGGGAGGCGTGGGTTCTCCTCTTCAGGCTGTGGTGGGGGTTGACCCGTGGAGACCACAGGCGGTGTATCCTCAAGGACGCGTCCGTGTGACCTGGACGCTCCTCCGCCCAGCCCAGCCAACCCACACGCAGGCACACACAAACACACGCACGCACGCACACCCACACCCACGCGCACGCATGCCGCCAGTGGCTTCTGTGCAGAGTGCATTTCTTCTCTCCAGCTGTTCTAAGGGGCCCTGTTCTCAGCGTGGGGACACCTGCCCCCTGGGGGTGTGGGGGGCATGTGGAGTCCTTCTGTCCATCACTGTGAGGGGGCAGTGCCCCTTCTAGTGGGAGGTGCTGGATACTACATCCCCACCAGATGGGACAGACCACAGGACCGAGGACAGACCGGCTGGTGTGCCCTCTGGGGGCTCATTGCCTTGGTCACCCTGTGGGTGGTTTGTAGGTTTGTGCTTGAACTGAGGTGTTTTCTTAAGTTCTGCTACCCAACGTGCGTGGCAGTAGCCACAGGCCAGGGCAAGGGGGCAGCACCGAAACCTCCCCTCAGGGACCCCACCAGGCCCCTGGCGTTCCTGCACAGTGCTTAGCGCACGTGGTGAGACACAGGTAACATGAAACGCACCACCAAGCACTTGGGGTGGACAGCCTGGTGGCATTAAGAATATTCAGGGCGGGGCAAGCAGCACTTGTGCATCAGCCCGCAAGAGCCCGTCCTGGTGGCAGTCACAGCCCGAGCCGCGCAGCCACTCTGGGGCTTCCGTCCTGGAGCCGCCTGTCTGCACACCGCGTCTGCGGACCCCGGGCCAGCCTGCCGTTCTCTCCCAGGTTTCTGCAGGGGCTGCCTGTGGAGCCTGCCCTGCTCTCGGACGAGCTTAAAGCTGTGCTGGGCGAGGACCCCGCTCCTGGCGGCATCAAGTACATCATTGCCACCCAGGTGAGCCCCGGCCGCACCCGTCACAGGCCTGTGGGCTCGGCCAGGCTGGGGGCCACTTTGCTGACGGTCAGGTAGCAGGAACCCTGCTCCTCGGGTTTCAAAGCACCCAGTGTTTCCCTCGCTCACTCTCAGTGGACGTGTGAGGGCCCTGTGGTGCGTGGGGCAGCGTTCCTGTGCTGGGGAATGTGGGGGCCTCCAGGTCACCCCACCAGACCAGGTCAGGGTCCTGCTCAGTGGTGGGGCCGGGATTTCCCTTAGATCTGTCTGATTCCAAGACCGTGACCTTGTGCCCCCAGGCCACAGCCCCTATCTTCCATCCCAGGACCTGCTCTCCACCCCAAGCCTGGGCTGTGGAGGCAAGTGCCCAGGGGACCCCATCTCTGCCTGAGGCTTGGGCCCAGGGCCAGCGTCACCATGGGGGCTGTCATCTTCTGATCTGCACTTACCTGGGAGGGCAGGTGCACTCTGCCCCTCCCTGTCACCTGCCCTGACATTAATTTCTGTACCCGCCAGGTAGGACCTGGGCCTCAAGTCCTGGACGACCCTGGTGCTCACCTGCTGGGCCCTGATGGTCTGCCGAAGCCAGCCGCCTGAGCACCCTAGTGGAGCCCCAGCTGCCACTGGGTGAAGGGGCCACTTCACTGGGACTGGGGAGCCGGGTGTGGCGGTCGGCCCACCCTGCTTGTTGGGATTGTGGGTGGCTGCCTCACTCTGGGCCCGGCAATGTGCCATGGCAGAGCTGGGGCAGTGGAGAAACACCTGCAGCCACACAGGCGGTCAGGAGCCCCCCAGTACCTCATCTTCCCCACCTGCACCCACACTTTGCTGAGACGGGAGCCTAGATCAGGAGACAGACGTGGAGGACCAGCCATCCAGGTGGAGCTGCCAGTGCCCCCACCAGTGAAGTGCTCTCTGGCCCTGAACTTGGGCCACCCCCACTGCCCCAGGGAGAAGACGGCCAATCAGTGTCCCCCTTGGGGCTGGAGGACCAGTCACCGTGCAGGGAGCAGCCTCAGGACACCTCCGTGAAGTGTTCCTCCAGACCCTGAGCTTAGGCCCATGTGCCTGCAGTTTCTTCACAGACCAGTGGTGTGTCTGGAGCGGGGCGGGGAGCAGCACCGAGAGGTGGACGGGACTCTGTCTGGCCCCAGAGTAAAGGCAGTGAGCTGGCTCTGCCTGGCGTGCTTTCTCTGAGCCCTTGCGGTCATTCTGCAGTGAGGACTGGGAAGGGGCTGCCGTGGGCTTGGCAGGAGGGGCTGAGGACTCACCTTCCCCCCAGCTCGCCACCCCCCACAGCCCCGGCCACACTGTGACAGACCTGGTCACTGAGGCTCATGGCCTGGGATGTGGTTTGGGGGCAGGAAGGTAGGCGGGCAGTGCCGATTGAGCAGAAGCTGTGGGCCTGTGGGTCTGAAGCACTGGGTCACTCCCTCCTTTGCGTGACCTACTCCATCCGTGTTCCTAGTCCCTCCGCACTGTCCCAGCCAGGCTGGGAGGAGAGGAGGTGGGCACCTGCGCCCTCTGACCTACCTCCTGGCTCCCCTCATTGTCCAGAAAGGGTCAGCTTCCTGCTGCTGGAGAGTCCTGACCTTGACCCAAAGGTGGGGCAGAGGAGGGAGGTGATAGGACAGGACCCTGCCCTCCTACACTCTGGGTTTTCCCAGAAGCTGCACCCTGGGAGCCCCCCAAGACAGTCCTGGTGAGCAGAGGGGCTGCAGCTGCCCACACCTGCACTAGCCCAAGGCCAGATGAGGCGGAGCTGGGCCTGCTCTGACCGCCAGGGAGGGATCCCCATGAGGCCTAGGGGTTCCTGGCCTGAGGCCCTGCTCCCTCTGCAGGGGGGCACCACTGAAGCCAGGGTGGCTGGGTCTCTCCCTGAGCTCCCGGCGGCCCAGGCTCTCATGGAAGGGGTAGGGGCAAGGCTCCTGGGAGCATGGGCCCGCCTGCCTGCTGGCCAGGCCAGTCACCTGGAGCCAGGGTGGGGCGGAGCGAGCAGCAAGGCGGCCCCGGAACTTGGGAAACTCTGGGCGGGGCTGGCAGGAGGCAGGCGGAGCTCAGGCCGCGGGGTCCGAAGGGTCTGAGCCAGTCGGAGGAGCCTTGGGGAGCCGTGCGGCCGCCATGGGGCAGATCGAGTGGGCCATGTGGGCCAACGAGCAGGCGCTGGCATCTGGCCTGAGTGAGTGGGCATCAGGGCTCTGGCACTTGGGGTGGGGGCCGCAGGGACGGCTGAACCTGGGGTGAGGGGCGCCGAAACTTAAACCCTCAGGATTGGCCAGGGCCCAGCAGAGCAAAGCTGAGGGCCAGGAGTCAGCTACCCTAGGCTGTGGGCCGGGGAAGTGGGAAAGGAGCAGGCTGGAGGCAGGGGTGGGGAGCAGGGTCCGGACCAGCCAGAGACCCCAGACTGCAGGTCAGGAAGTGGGAACTGAAGCCTGGGGGTGGGGGCTGAGTCTGGAGCCTTCTGCCAGGGACCTGCAGCCCCGTGGGAAAGGGCCTGGGGCCAGTGTCAGGACAGGCTGCAGCCCTCAGGTTGAGGAGAAGGATTCAGTGCCCTCCTGCCCTGCAGACCCATGCACCCCACCTCCCATCCTCTGTCCCGCTGCCACAGCTGTTCCTGCTTCACTCCTCCACTCACCCCCTGAAAAGAGGAAGTTGAAGCTGGGGGAAGAGGCGTTTTCGCCCCTGGTGGTTTCCGGAGAGTCACCACCCATCGGGTTGGAAAAACCCGGCCTGACCCGCCCCTGTGGCCCCTCCTGTGCTGGTGTGGGGGCTCCTTCCCAGGGGCCCTGGGGTGCAGAGGTGGGCTCCTCCTGCCTCCTGGCCAGGCGCTTGGCCCACGGAGGGGTGACCCTCCCTCTGGGGCCCAGCCCTGGGTCTGCTGAGGAGGGCCCTGTGCACAGTGCTGTAAACGGCCCCCACTGCCCCTCCCTCCCAGCTCCCCAGGTGCTCCTGGGAGGGACGGCAGGGCCCCATCACCCAGCCTTGCTCTGGTCAAGGAGCAGTGGGGTCTGCACTATACACTTAGAAGAGAGACCCAGACACGCCCCCCTCACCCACCAGTGCCAGCTGGGGGCAGAGGAGCTGGCCAAGCTGGGACGGGTAGGGGAGCAGAGACGGGTGAGGTATCCGGCCTGCCCACAGGGCAAGGTCATATTTTGGAGGGTGGTCTCTCCTGGGTCTGGAGTGGCTAAGAACCCAGCAGGTCAGTAGATGGCTCTCCTCATCTCATTTCTGCCCAGAGCTGTCCTTAGCAGACCCCCAGCCCCCAGAAGGAGAGGGTGACTGCAGGCTCTGAGCGTGGAGCTGAGAGGCCTGGATTCCTGTCCCAAGGGTGCAGATGGTACCCCCGTGGTGGCTTCCCTGTTCTCAGCCAACACCCGGGGGGCAGGGCTGTTCTGTGTCCTCTTTACAGTGATGCCCCGACATCCACCATCAGATGGGGCGGCTTGTGGGAAGGTCACCCTTCTGACCTCCTTGGTCTGCCTTTTCCTCCTGACTCAGTATTGACTATAGCCTGGCCTCCTCAGACCAGGCCCCACGAGTGAGATCGCAGCCCCCAGGCCTGTTCTCCCCCTGCCCCCCACCCCTCTCCGGGGCCACCCACCTGGGCTTCCTGTCACGTCCCCCGTCCCAGTTCTCCACTAGCTGAAGTTTATGTCCTCACCTGAGGCCACAGCCCCGTGCCAGCTGAGGCCTGGGTCCCAGCGGGACCCAGCGGCCCTGCACACGCCACCTGCGAGCTTCTCTCTTGCTGATGACCGAGACCCAGGCTGAGGAAGTGGTGTCCCCAGGACGAGTGGACACGGTGCTGCAAGGGCCTGCCCGCAGCGCACAGGGTCCTGGCAGCACAATGAGCCTGAGTGCGCAGCGCAGCCCGAAACCAGCCAATGGCAGCGGGGCTCTGGGGGCTGGAGGGGCTCGGGGGCCTCTCTGGAAAAGGGCTGAAACCAAGCTGCATGCCTGAGGCTGGTGCTGTAAAGGGCTGCCCGCACAGGAAACACCACAAGAGCGCCCCCTCCGAGAAGTGCGCTGTCTGTGCCAGAGCCCAGATGAAGAATGCCACGGGCAAGAGGAAACCTCTGGAAACCCAGGCCTGGGCTGTGCAGGGAATAGGGGCTGCCCTCCCCGACCCTGTGTTGCAAGGACCACCGACCAGGAAGTTCCGGTCCCGGGAAAGGACCACAGAGGGGTGAGCTTCAGCCAGAGCGAAGCTGGGTCCAGGGGGAGGGGCAGCAGCACCAGAGGGAGGACGCAGCGAGTCCGTGTTGACTATAAAGAATGAGTATCACTGGTAACCTGGGGTGAGATTGAAGTGAAACATTCTCAAGTCCATACGTGGTTCAGGAAGAGGGATTTTAAAGTTCCATCAAGTCAGCAAAAGGCAGGCGAAGCAACAAAAGTGCTCATTAAAGGGAAAACATAAAATCAGGTAAGTTTCTCTCTGCAGCCACAGTCAACAAATACGTTAAATTCACTACCATTCATGGTAGCCCCAAACCGGAAGCAACTGACATGTCCCCGAGGCCACAGAACAGGTCACCTGTGGATGATTCAGTCAAAAACTAGTCAGCAAGAGTGACCCACACGAAGGGCCAGGATGACCGCTGACCCCAGAAGAGCCGAGAGAGACTTCCGGGGTGACGGGGACCTTGACTGGGCAAGGTCACATCGGGGGAGTCACACGAAAGTAAAGTTCTCAAGCGTACATGTGCGCCCGTCACGTAGTAATTAAACCTCAGTGAACGGCTGGGGATGTGAGACGCGGGGACAGTGGCGCAGCGATGTGAATGCCCTTCCTGAGCCCCCCTCTGTGAAACGGCTAAAAACGCGGCATTGTGTGTGGTGCTCGTGTTACCGCCCACACAGCATTACTGGGGAGGAAAGACCGAGACCCTCGTGTCCCTGCAGCGACCAGGAGCACAGATCTGAGCCGACGGCTGGGAGAGACAGACTCCATCCGGAGCAGGATGTCAGCACCAGACAGAGCACGGGATACTGGCACGGGGGGAGGGGCGCCCACGGAGCAGTCCCAGGCCCCGACCCCCACCCTGCCTTGGCAGCTCCTTCCGCCCACACGCTGCTCCCAGGGGAAGGCATCCTGACCCCATGCCTACGGCCTCCCCATCACCTGCCAGGGTCTGCATCCGCCTGGGCCCCCTGCCCAGCAAACATGGTGACAGACTCAAGCGCAGCTCCGCGGTGGGCTTGCAGCCCCACTGTGGGAGGGAAGCCCGGGGGAGGTGGCCAGGGCCCCTGCAGGGATGGGGGGCACCTACTGACCTGCTTCTCCTCTGCCCACAGTCCTCATCACGGGGGGCATCGTGGCCACAGCAGGCCAGTTCACCCAGTGGTACCTGGGCACGTACTCCATGTATCCTCCTGCTGCAGACCCCAGGCGGGGTTGGGGGCAGACACACCTCACAGTTTGCAGAGGGCTGCTCACACCTCTGCTCCTCTGCACTCCCAGCGGCGATGGGGAAGGCAGGAGGGTCTCAGAGCAGGAAATGACAGATTTGCCCGGGCTGGGTTCTGGCAAGGATGTGAGGTGTCAGTGGCCCCCAAGGGCTGACAGTGAGGCCTCGGGGATGCTCAGATCCCCCTGCACCCTCTTCTATCAGCCATCCTCCCCAGCCTGCCCAGGCCTGTCCATGAGTGGGCGGGCCTCACTGTCCTCTACCGGCCTAGCGGTTCCAGGTCCTAGGGAAGCCAAGGCAGGTGTAGGGGAGGGAGGGGCTGGGACAGGGAAGGAGGCAGCAAAGTGGCCAGACCTGCTCGAATCCCTCCTGGCTGCTTCCTGGCTGTGTGACTTCAGGCAGCAGCTGCACCTCTCTGTTTTTCTATCAGCAAAGGGGGCTCCCTGTGGCCCGTTAGTCAGCGGGCTCTTCCTTAACTGCAGCTTCAGTGCGGCAGGAGTTCTCATCTGCCTGCTGGAGTACCCCCGGGGGAAGCGGAGCAAGGGCTCCACCATGGAGAGGTGGTAAGTCTCCCCGGCCTGCTCTGGGGTCCTTCCGGGAGCTGGGCAGAGCTCACAGGGCTGGGCGCCTGGCCAGCCACCATGGAGGAGCCTGGTCCCGTCCCTCTGGTGCCCACTCAGCGGGGGTGCTCTGGGCTGGGCGGGTGGTGCTGTGTGCTGAGTAGGACACGGTCTGTCTGCTTCCCCTCTCTTGGCTTAGTGGACAGAAGTACATGACCAGAGTGGTGAAGCTGTTCGGGCCCCTCACCAGGAATTACTACATCCGGGCCTTCCTGCACCTTGGGTGAGTCCCCGTGCCCTCTCAGGGTCAGGAGGCCCCACCTGCGGGCCGCCTGCGCCGCACTGCTTGGGTGGACTGAGCCCCCTCCCGGTCCAGATGCTGTTTCAAACAAGAACCCAGGGCCCGGGTTCTGCCAGAGGTTCCCCAGCCCCGTATCCACTATAACTTGCGGGGTCACCATTCACCCCAACCTCAGTAGCTTAGACCCGGAACCTCAGGGTCCTGGGTTCACTGGGCTCAGCCGGGCAGCTCTGCTCAGCTGCGTCGCATGTATGCAGCTGGGTCACTGCTGGGGAGGCCGTGGCACCCAGCCATTGGCAGCTGCCTGGGTGTCTTCCCAGCGTGCCGGCTGGGGGCCAAGAGCCAGTGTCCCCAGGCTTGTCAACAGACCTGGCTGAGAACAGCTCGGGGGCCCCAAAGTGAGAAGACCAGTCTTTGGCAGGTCAGGGCCCCCCCTGAACACACTTACAGTCTGCTTCGTCCTGCAATTCTGTGGTCTCTGACCAAGGCCTGGGGCTGTGGACTCTCTTCTGACCGCCCTTCTGTCCCCTGCACCCACCCTCGCCCCCCGCCAGGCTGTCGGTACCTGCCGGCTTCCTGCTTGCCACCATCCTGGGGACAGCCTGCTTGGTCATCGCCAGTGGCATCTACCTGCTGGTGAGTAGTGTCCCTGTGGTCAGCCCCATTGGTCCTCAGCAGCCTCAGCCTCGAGGCCGGCCGTGTCCCTGCTCAGGTTGTGGTGGGGACAGGGATGTTGTGGCCTCCGTTAATGGCCCATGCAATGTGCTGGCTGGTCCCCTACACGCCTCCTGTAATCCACACTGTGGCCCTGTAATGGGGGGTGGCAGGGTCCCAACCTTACACAAGGAAGCGGGGGCTCAGAGGGGCCTGGCCTGGCCTGGGAGTCGTTGGTCAGACTTCCCTCTTCCAGTCCAAGGTGCTGTCAGGGGCACTTCCCGGAGCCTGTTAGCCAGGCAGATGCCTCGAGAATGCTCTCCAAGACCTGGGGCTGGGTTTGCCTGGAGCAGAGCTGCAGCAGACGGCCCTTGAGAGGCCTCAGTCACATACCCTCTCTGAGCTGCAGTCCCTTCAGGCCTGTCCTGCCCCTCTCGGCTGTGGGGAGTGCGGGGATGGTGAGACGGGGCGGAGGCTGCCCGAGAGGAGCCTGCGGCCCAGCCCCTCCGTGTCCTGCAGGCGGCCATCCGTGGCGAGCAGTGGACCCCGATCGAGCCCAAGCCCAGGGAGCGGCCACAGGTGGGGGGCACCATCAAGCAGCCGCCCAGCAACCCCCCGCCCCGACCCCCGGCCGAGGCCCGCAAGAAGCCGGGAGAGGAGGCGGCGGCAGCTGCGGGGGTCCCCACAGGTGGCCCCCAGGAAAACCCTGTGCCGGTGACAGACGAGGTGGTGTGACCAGGGCCGGAGCTCCGGCAGCCCCCACGCCCGGGCAAGCCTGTGGCTGCAGCCCCTTCCCTGTTCACCCCCAGCTGCGCGGTCATCTCCTGAGCTGCACTGGAGCCTCAGTGCCTCACTTGTTCCATGAAACACGTATCTGGAACCCCTCGTGCCTGAGTTTCTCCTCTGGAAATGAACGTCCAGGCCTGGGGGAAGGGAGTGTGCGTCCCACGAGCCCCTCAACCTGACCTGCTAGGGCTTTCCTGCTGGAGGACTCCCGGGGGCCAGTGTGCCACAGGCATGTGCCCACTCAGGTCCCGATCCCACCCGGGCACCAGAATTGTTACCAAACCAAACCTGGGTCTGCCCGCCTGTGCGCAGAAAGCCAGCCTATTGGCACTGGGCTGCGGTCCAGGCGAGTGCAGTGCTCACTGCAGGCGCCAAGTGAGGAGCCAACGGCTCACGCTCAGCAGACCCCAACTCCCCAGTGGGTTTCAGGGACTGGTTTTTATTTAATTTTTTGTTGTTTTTTTGGGGGTGATTAGATTTATTAATTTATTTTAATGGTTCCTGGGTTCCATCCCCAGGACCTCGAACACACTAAGCACACACTCTACCACTGAGCTACACCCTCCCCCCTACCTGGAGGGGTTTTTAGACAGTGAGGGAGGGGGGCTGTGGGGTGTGTGATCAGCAGGCCAACAGACCAAATGTGGTTCCATAACACACACACACCTATACAGCATACACACCGCCCCTCACACCCCCCAACACACACCACAGACACTCACCAGCCGCGGCAGGCCCGGGCGTGGGCCTCCTGGCTCCTGCCTGTCCCACCGCAGCCTGGGAAGCCCCCTCCTCCCCAGGCACCCACTTCCCCCAAGTCTGGAGAAGTCCTGAAGCAGCTCGCCTGCTGCTTGCACCGCTCTGGTGCTTCCAGAGCCAGGGGTCCTAGCCCTTCAGCCTCTGGCCTGGCGTACACCCCGCCCAGGCAGCCAGCACTCAACACTGCACCAGCATCTCTGTCTGGCCCCACCCCAGGAATGGCCACTCTGGCCTTCCAGAAGGTCAGCTAAACTTCAGGCCCCCCTGACTGCCCCTCACGCACCTCACGCCCAATCCTGGCTCCACCATCAGCATAAATCCAGTCGCCCCACTGTTTCTCCCCCACCCCCAGGCCCAGAACTGCCCTGTCCCGTCCAGTGCCCGGCTTAGGGCCCACAAGCTCCCACAGCCCGGGACAGACACCATCTCCACCCCGGCTCCTACTGGGCTGGCCCCCTTCACCCCTCTCCCAGGGCTCCAGCCACACGGACCTCCCTCCACCCCTGAGCACAGGCTCCCCTCTGCCTGGAACACCAGGCCCCCGGATGGCCACCCTGGCCGTTCTCAGGGGCCACCTCTTCCCTCCCTGCATCACTGCCCCTGGTTCCTTCACCAGCAGGCCAAGTGCTTTGCTGCCTGCCTTGGGCTGCCGGTCACCCTCAGGGCGGGCGGGGCTGTCTGTTTTGTTCACAGCTCTCCTCCCAGTGCTGGACACACGGCACACACTCAGCCAGTAAGTGCTGAGTGAAGAGCCCCTCCAGGCTCATGACAAAGGCCAACCACCTCCTCCGGGAAGCCTTCTCTGAGACCCTTCCCCTCTTCCCAGGCACTTCCACACAGTGGGTGTCAGTCAGTGGGTGAGGCTGGCGAGGGGTGCAGACCACTGTCCTGCAGCGCCCCAGCCCCACATCAGCCCTGAGTCTCGCCGGGCCTGTGCGCATTGGGGACATGGGGGCTCCACGGAGGGTGGTAGCAAAGCTGGAGCTGCTGAGGCCACACGCTTGGGCCCCTGAACCAGATGCCCCAAAATGCATTCGGACTCAGGACACTCTGGTGAGTGCAGGCTGGGCCCCCACTGCCCCTGCTCTGCAGGTCACAGTGGGGGACGGAAACCCGAGGGGGCATCCAGAGCTGCCTGGGCCTCTCTGCTGGGGCTGGGGGAGTGTGACTCAGCCAGGATGCAGACGGGCCCCCTGAGCCAGCCGACCACCTGGGAAGTCACCCTCAGGGTGCCCGTCCACGGGGCAGGGGGGTGCATCCCCGGGGCCACACCCATGCCCATGAGGAGAGGGCTGGGCTTTGAGAGCAGGGCCCACCCCCTGGCCCCGGAGCCGCTGCATGGCCAAGGGCGCGTCTGGGTTCATGCACAGAACCTTCTGGTGTGGCCCACACCAGACTCTGGGTCAGTAGCTGCCGCTGGGGGACCAGCTGGGTGTGGAGGGCCAGGAAGGGGTGAGGGCGAGGGGTGTGTCCTCACCCACTGGCCCCTGCCATCCAGCACTGTGCTCAGTTTAATAACACGGACTCATACATAAAATAATCACTTTCAGAAACACGGGGTACTTGTGTCTCCTCGGGGCTGGGGAGAGGGAGGCTGAGACCAGGGAGGGGTGGGGGCGAGGAGAGCCCGGGGGCTACCAAGGTGGAAGCAGCCATCAGGACACCTTTTCTGTTGTTGTTTTCAGAAGTTCTAGAAGAGCAAAAATATTCCAGGGTAAACCGTGTCTCCAGGTGGAGCTGGCCAGTGCAGAGTCCCCTCTGGGCCCGACGACATGGTCCTTCCCGGGCCCCATCTCCACTGTCACCTCAGGGCAGAGGCCTGGAGCCTGGGGACCCGCCCAGGAGCCCCAGGGGCACATAAATAACCAATAAATACACATAAATAGGAGGGGCCTCTTGGGGAGTGGTCCCGCTGGCCAGTCCGGGAGCCGAGCCGGCGGTCACCTTGCTGACCTGGCGGTACCTCGCCGACCTGGGCAGGACGCAGGTGCAGCCCACGGGCACGCGGATGAACTCCGC